ATTATTATTATTATTATTGTTATTATTATTATTTCAGCAGCTAGAGCAGAGAACGTCAAACTAAAGAGAGAGAGAGCGAGTTCATTCTAAACTACAGGAGGATAGGAGAGGTAAGAAAACTTTATTTTTATTATTATTATTATTATTTAAATTATTATTATTATTTCAGCAGCTAGAGCAGAGAACGTCAAACTAAAGAGAGAGAGAGTTCATTTTAAACTACAGGAGGATAGGAGAGGTAAGAAAACTTTATTTATTATTATTATTATTATTATTATTATTGTTATTATTATTATTTCAGCAGCTAGAGCAGAGAATGTTGAACGAAAGAGAGAGTGTTCATTTTAAACTACAGGAGGATATGAGAGGTAAGGAAACTTTATTTTTATTATTATTATTATTATTTAAATTTTTATTATTTCAGCAGCCAGGGCAAAGAACGTCAAACTAAAGAGAGAGAGAGAGTTCATTTTAAACTACAGGAGGATAGGAGAGGTAAGGAAACTTCATTATTATTATCATTTCTATTATTATTATTATTGTTATTATTATTATTATTATTATTATTATTATTATTTCAGCAGCCAGAGCAGAAAGAGAGAGAGAGAGTTCATTTTAAACTACAGGAGGATAGGAGAGGTAAGGAAACTTTATTTTTATTATTATTATTATTATTTAAATTATTATTATTATTTCAGCAGCTAGAGCAGAGAATGTTGAACTAAAGAGAGAGAGAGAGTTCATTTTAAACTACAGGAGGATAGGAGAGGTAAGAAAATGTTATTCATTATTATTATTATTATTATTATTAAATATACGGCCCATTTTTAATCTTAGACCCTCATGACTGAAGCTCTCTGCAGTATTGATGAAGTTCTGGAGTGAAGGTAAGAACTTCCCTCTAACAGGCAGAAACCCTGAGCAGATATGAACTCTGGGTAATTTTATAGCTGAAGACCGTGGTCGTCTAAGATCCTCCGATCCCTCTGAGACTAAAAAAAACTCTTCCTTATATCACTCTACTTCCTAGCCATGAAAAAATAATGATCTATCTGCATTGATAATCCCAGTGCACTCATGAATGTGTGAGTTTGTGTTTCTGCCGTATGATCATGAGATGAAATGACAGAACGAGGGCCTGCCAATCAAAACGCTGCAGCTCCATACCATCTCCTCCTTTCACTCAAGGCCATTACTATCTGAGGATATGCTCCACTTCCCATGAAATCTCTCATACATATGCAAGTTCATGCTTCCACATTTCTAACCTCTCGAGAGGCCTCCTGAGGAGGGAGAACACGTCGACATGTGTAAGAGCGCGGCGGGATCTTTTTCAGGGAATTAACACGGATCGGAGGTCCCCCTGAGATCGGCCCCGGGATGAGCAGAGAAAAACTGAGCAGGTTCATATGCAGCAGGTCCAGAGGAGGACCTGTTGAACACCAACATCTGTGAGGAGCTTTGCTCTTGTCAGACTCACAAGACCCGGCTTTTTAGCTCTTGTCCGGTCTACCTCCGTTTTAAGCGCCCGTTATTCCTCCAGAGTCTCCGGTATTTACTTTGTTTTCTTGCTTGTGTCGGCAGTCGTGGCCAAAGGAGGATTCAGACAATTTTCCGAACTTTCTGGTTGGTTTCTACTGTCCGATATTGTAGCACGCTAACTTTGTTTGGGCTCCTGAACGACACGGGGGAGCAGCGTCTGCCTCACAACCAATCAGGTTAGAGGAGGTGGAGAACGGCTTTGTTTACAGTCAGAAAGAGCGGACCGCTCAAAAATGTTCAAATGTTGACGACACAGACAGAAGAGAACACAGAGATATCGATATATATCCAAATAATCAATAACTAATAACTATTGACTGATATTAGAAGATTTTTTGTTTATACACCACAAAAAAAAGATGCTTCAACGGACTCCACCTTTAAAGTGATGATGACGAAGAAACTTGTGCCGTCTCCATGACAACGGCACAAGTTTTCCCCCCAAATCACCGCTGTTTAATGAGTTTAAAATAAAGCTTCATTTTCTGTGTTTACCTGGGAACGAGAGAAAAACAGAAACCCTGAAGTCCACCCTCTGGAGGTAGAGGGGGTCAGGTTCCTCACCAACATCCACCTCCGGTCTGCTCCCAGACCTGAGGATAAACGCCACAGTCTGCACTCCGCCTTTGAAGCCGTGATGGAGGCGGCCGAGAGGAGCAGCCAGGGAAGCATCCAGAGGCTTAAGTTGTACAGCCAGGACCCCTGCTGAGCGCTGAAGTATCAGGCCAGGATCACTCAGAGGGGGGTGTTTGCAGGATGCCATTATTCAGTGTTGAGCCTTCCAGAGGTATCAGGGGCTCATAAAGGAAACGCCAAGAAAGGAGCGAGGAGAGCTGAGAGCCAGGCGCCGCCGCCGCCGCTGTGTCTCTGTCAGGAGGACGCTCTCTCAGTGATTCAACAAATATAATGAAACATCTTTAAACACTATATTTATCAATATTTATCAATATTTACTGTGTGACAAAACACTTGACGTTTAGGTTCTTAGACGAACAAAAATGTCCATCTTCAAAAAGTGCGATAAAAATATTATACTTTTTTTTCCACTTTTTTTTTTTTTTTTGCTTAAATCTTTTAACCGGTTCTTTATGGCGTTCTTCTGAGCCTCTCTGGAACCTCCTCCGCCATGGTACCAGCCATCAGCAGAGCGACTAGCAGCTACGTTCAGGACATTTAGGTGATGTTATTGTCCAATCAGAGCAGTTTTTCTGGAACAACATCACTGTGTTTGTTTACTGAGGTCAAGAGTGCATGCAATGATCGGGTTACGATGAGAGCGCCCTCTGCTGGATCACACGGTGAGCTACCTCAGGCGCCTTTAATCCTCAGAACCAGAATCCCGATGAGAGCGCTGTATTATTAATGATGTTCTGTATTATTATGAGTTAAAACAGCTGGTTACAGTTTAAATGAACTTTTCCCTCAGTTTAAATGAAGGTTCGAATTTCAGAGTCAGGAGAGAGAGGGTGAGTAAGCTAGCCTGTTAGCATCACTCAGTACGTTTAAATGATACTTGAGAAAACCGAATTTTCGCCTTATTCCGATAAAGACCAGACAACTGAAGTGCATCTAAACTTAGTCCGACTGTAATCAGAGTTTGAGATCTCTGATTTAGACGACCAGATAATGTGATTGGAATTCGATTTTCTCGACCATGTAACCAGCGTAACCACGCCCCCTTAACACCGGAACAAAAACACCAGAGAAGAAGTGTCACTAACATTTGAAGAACTTTCGATTCAGAACCAACAGCGACATGGATGAAGCACCAAAGAACGTCCACTTTTGGAATGACGAGGAGAGCGCTGTTATGCTTCCCGTTCTGACAGAAACGGACATTTGAAAGTATTTGGACGGCTGCAAAACGAGGAACAGAGACATCTTTAAAAAGGTCCAGAAACACCCGTGTTCATGGCCCGTATCGCCCCCTAGTTTTGGGGAGGAGGACACGTTCACGTGAGTTTAGTCTGATTAAACTGTGCACTGAATGTTTCCTCGGTAAAAAAAAAAGGCTTAGTGCTCGATCATGAGCTGATTGGCTGTTTGATTTGACCTCATGATGGACCGCAGTGATGGCGGACTCTTTAATGGACCTGATGGAGAAGGTGGAGGTGTGCTGTCGGGTCACACTGAGAATGGTTCCTTTCATTTAGTCACAGCTGAGGGACAACACAAGGAGACTGTCTCACCTAAATGGGACGCAGCCATCCTACATTTAATGAAGTTTGAAGTTTTTAATTTTGATCAGAATGTTTAATTTTAAATATTGATCCTGTTAGTGAGCTGATCGGTGACTTCCAGACTAAAGAGGGGGAGAGTGAGGAGGAGGAACCCGGAGAGAGAGGCCGTGACTCGGCAGGGAGAGGACTCTTCCTCCGGTGGGATCTTTTCTGATAAGGAGGGGGCGGGAAGACCACTCACGTGATTAAATTTGGGCAGTGATGCCCGGTGTGAAAGTCACCAAGTTCACGGGAACTAAAATGGTCTGAACCGGAAATAAGAGGACTGCCTTTCAGAATAAAAGCACTAAAGCATTTTGTAACTGAAATGAGAAGAAAATAAATCCCGAAAATCTCCGATCCTTTAGAAAAAAAACCTCTGATACTGAATCAGACTTTTGTTGGACTATTATTAAAACAGTTTACTTTAGAGCAGCTAAAAGAGTAAAAAAGTAGAATGTATTATTATTTATGTATTCACTAAATTACAGGAAGAGTCCTCAGAAATTCATTATTATTTAATCTGTGAACTGTTTTATTTCTATTTTACTGTCTTTTCATATTGTGTCTTTTTTTAACCTTTCACACTGTTGGTTTCATTTCTTAAAATTTTCTGTATTTAAAATTGTGTTTTTTTTCTTTGTAAAGCGTCTCTGAGCACCTGTAAAACACATAATAAATAAAACTTAGTTTTATAGATTTATTGTTATTATTATAATAATTAATACTATATTATTATTATTATTATTATTATTATTATTTTAAAATCTTTTAACTGGATTTCCACTGAAACTTCTGTTTTCATCTGATTCTTACAATTCCAATAAATCAGTTTATCTTTATATTGCGTAATTTATAGATTTTTATGTGTTTTAACTTTTATTTTAAACTATTTAAAGCAGAATTTTTGCCAAGGAAAAAGTGAAGAAACAACCAAATAAATCACAAAACAAGTGGGCTTTAATTATTAAACACATTTAATGAAATTGTAAAAATTAACAAGAATAATTAAAGATATAAAATGACATCAAATCGTGAATATTATTTAATCAAATTGAATTATGAAAACTTTAGTGCTTTTAGGTTGATTTTTTTAATTTATATTTTCTATTTCGGCTGGAATATAAATATATTTTTTTAATTTTCGTTTCACACTTAGAACCGAATTCCGGAGGTGTGACTTTGTGTCTCTTATTTTGAAAATATTCACCGGATGTTCCTTTTTTAAATCACAGCTGACTTGTCGTGCGCGAGCTGCGGCTGTGTGGATTTTAAGGTGAGCACGTTTAGTTTGGTTCGGAGTGAAAACCCGAACTGAGACTCGGAGCTGCAGACGGACTCGCAGGTGTTCCGGTCCAAAGACGTCACACAGGTGCGGTTCGCTCAGGTGGACCGGATCTAAGACCAGAACGACAGTTGGAGGGACTTGGCTGTGGTTCAGACTCCCGGTTCTGAGCGGCACCGGCTCGGCTCGGCTCCGGTTTTCGGGCTCGTCATGTCAAAGTGAAGCGGAACCGGAAAGTGTTTCCTGGACTTTTCGGAGGATTTCTGCGCGCCTGGGCGATCCGGACCGGGGGGACCGTTTCTGCACGCTGCTGCGGTAGGGAGGTGAACCAGCGCGGTTCCGTGTTCCCGCAGCGAACCGGACCTTCTGTGGCGTGTTTTCAGCTCAGACTGCGCGCTCTCAGCTCGGATCGGGATCTAAAATCGAACCCGGACAGCGGTTCGGATCCGCCGGATTCTCTCCATCCAGGATTTACGCGGAGAAGAATCTCATTTCTGAATCATTAATTCGAGACGGACGCGGACAGAACCCCCCGGAGTGTGTATCTGGACCGGTCTAGCCCTGTTCTGGTGGGCTGAGACACGCAGGGAGACGCGCGTCCTCGTCCTCTCTCCGCTGATTTATGGTTTCTGGACTTTTATCGCGGCGCAGACTTGGACCCGTTTCAGGGAGCAGAGGATCTGTCCGCCTCCCCGCTCCTCGGTCAGATCGGAGCAGGATACCTGAACTTTCTTCTCCCATGTGGAAAAAAACCCGCTGCTCTGTTCGTGTCCGTGGAAAAGACGCGGTTCGGCCGTGGACTGTCAGTTTGGAGACTGAGGCGCCGCCGCACACCGTGTCCCGCACATCTCCGTGCGCATACATCTGAATCTTGTGCGCATTATCCAACTTAAGACCTCCGGACAGAGCCGCAGCCGCAGCAGCAGCAGCAGCAGCGTGGAGGTGTGGAGGCGGAGAGCCGAATTTACCGTCAACTGGATCAACAACAACAACAACTGGGATTTTAACGGCCGCCCACTGGGATTTCTACCATGTCAGGTGTTCGGGACTGCAGATGGACTCTCCTCATCTGTGCGGCGGCGGCGGCGGCGTTTTCATATGGTGAGTGAGTGAGTGAGTCCTTTCCTCCCTCCTAACTAACCTCCTCCAGCCCTCTCGCTCCAGCGGGTTGAAGGAGCAGAACTGTTCTGTTCTGGTTCTGATCCAGGTTCCTGCAGAGGTTCCTCATCAAACACAAACGATGGAGAGAAAATCCACATTTTTCTGCTGCTGAAATGTTGATTTTTACTCACTGATGAGAACCAAAAACATCAAATCTATTTATTGATCTGGTTTGATACATTCCATGTTTGTTGGAAACTGATGAAGACATATTGATCATTGATCGGACTGTATTCAGGTGTTGTTTTAGTCATTTGTTGATCATATTGATTTGTAAAAGTATGAAATATGATAGAAAAGGCAGTAAAGGGTTAAGTCCTGTTTTTGGAAGATGGAAACACACACACACACACACACACACATTTGTATCTGAGAATGAGGAGCTGCACGCCTCTGCAGGAGTGTGTGTGTTTGCCTGTAAGGTCATGTTGGCGTCAGGATTGGCGGTTGATGGTTTTGAGGATTGATCCAGAATCAGGATTTAGTTTATTTGAGTTCAAACTTGATGAACCTGCAGAGAAGAAACAGAAACATCCTCAGACTTCAACATGAGATCCTCCGAGTGCAGCCAGGTGACCGTACCTACACCTGAGCTCCACACACACACACACACACACGTACACCCCTCTCTCTCTCTCTCTCTCTCTCTGTCTCTCTCTCTCTCTCTCTCTCTCTCGCTCAGATTAGAGCAGCAGAGGCTCTCGGTACGTCACGTCACAGCTGCTCAGTTGTGAGAACGACAGACAGACTTACAACACATTACACAACCGTCTACCATCTCATCTCCTCTGGCTTTCTTCTTCTTCTTTCCTCAGTGTGTGTGTGTGTGTGTGTGTGTGCGTGCAAAGTCCCCTCTTACACAACAGATAATGCCACTCTTCGTCCTACATGGAGTGACGTGTTCTCTGCCAAAAGTGTACGCCGTCCAAATCAAACATGTCAGAGATGGTTTCTCCCGACATGATGATCTGTTTGGACTCTGATGATAATCTTTGGTTGATATTAAGATCTTCTCTTTGGTGAGGAAACATTTAGAGGAGGGGGACCTTTGAGAGAGGGGCTGCATTACACAGTTTTCAACAACACAAATAAGTTCCAGTAAATGGAGGTCAGCACGGCGGCGTCTCTTTGGAGACCAGCTGGACGACCTGCACAAACGCTGAGCTCTGGTTTTCTTCAGATCCTCCCTGATAGAAACATGAACTCACTCTGTATGAGTTTAATAAACCAGGATTCACCTGCTTCAGTTTGTTGTCGGTCTGGAATGACAGAAGTAGAGAAAGCCGACTGAATGGTCGTCTGTTTCGGCTCCTCGCTCCTCTCGGGGTTTGTAACCTTCTGCGTGTCGCGTGCTCTGCGGCGTGGCGCTGCTTCAGGTGGTGAAAAAGATTTGAGGTATTCCCCGACTTTGTGAGAACATGTACTCGACATAATTTACAGTCCACATTACTCTGCTTCATGTCCGACCTCCAAAAACCAAAATACCTCCACACCACCGACGTTTTCCTAACGCCAGTGTTGTGGTTGACATTGATGTGGTCATCTGTTGAGCCTTCATGGTCATTTCTGTCGGGGGTAGCACTCATTTTCTTTGTTTCTCACCAACAGTGCTGTCGGCTTCACCTGTTAAAGTGCTATGGTTGGGTGGAGCTGCTGTCTGCTACGACGCTGCAGTTGGTTGATACTTGGTTCTAATTCAGAACATGATTGGTTCAGACCCGGAGAAACTCCTCTTTTCATTGGCTGTTAGTATAGTCGACCAAAACATGGTAGAATGCCGACTATTGAAAAGGATATTGATCATGTTTTATGTTGATATTGAGGAAAATTAATTTTCGATATATATCTTTATCGTTTTATCGTCCAGCTTTAGTTGGAGGTCATGGTAGAAAGAGGAAGTTCAGGCTGAGATCTGAAGTACGAGATGACAATCTCTATCCAATCCACAAGCTGTGAATCAGTTTAAATGGACCAATCAGAGGCAGCGCCTGCATCAGTGATGAGACTTAAGAGACTCTGAAGATAAAAACAGTTTAAGTCTCTTTTTGATCGTTTTTACTGTTTAGAGTCTCAGTCCAGTTAAAAAAATCCACAAAAAGTCAAAATGATTTTATGAAATTGGAAAATAAAATCAGGTAAAATAAGATAAAATTAGTTAAAATCGAATAAGATAAGATAAACCCAGATAAAATGAGAAAATCAGATAAATAAGATCAAATAAAATCAGATAAGATTTGGTAAAATAAGATAAAATCAGATAAAATTATATCAAATAACATCAGATGAAATTAGATAAATTCAGATAAAATAAGTTAAAATAAGATAAAATAATATAAGATAAATTCAGATATTTCTTTATTCGTCCCACGGTGGGAAATTCCAAATTACAGCAGTGTATAAATACAAAAAGAGAAATCAGAGTTAAAAAAGATGAGTGTTATTCACAGCTGTTATCTTCATGTTTATATGTTACAGCTGAGCAACAGGAGATATTTATGTGTCTGAATAATCACGTGTGTGTTCAGAATGTTTACATGATTTTTAGTTTTACAGACTTTCCCCCTCAAACCTCAGATTTATCATCGATATTCAAATCTTCACAAACGTTTAATAAAATGACGTGTTGAACATGATTTCAATCTAAAACATAAAAAAGACTAAAAACTGATCAATATCAGCATCAGGATGGTATTGATCCTGGAGTTAAGAGTGCTTTAGGAGCGTTAGAGCATTGATCAGTTTTTAACCTGGAGGAAACAGTCAGAAAACGTGGAGCCGGACTCTGAACTGAGACAGGACTCTGAACTGAGACAGGACTCTGAACTCTTAAACCGGGTCAGTCTGAGGAGCGCCTGAATGCAGCTGAGAACTTCAGCAGGAGCCATGTTTGAATGTTGGACCACAGAAACGTCTTCATCCGTGTTTCCTGCAGTATCATCATCATCTCCTGGTTTCATTACCACACAGAGGAAACGCCCACGTTCGCACTCAAGAACACTCTCGCCGCCTTGATGGCTCTACTTCAGCGAGGCGGCGAGTGTGCGGATGTGCTGCAGCGCTCTGCCTACACAAACCTCAGCCAGCGCCTGTGGTCAGTGTTGCTTAGCGCAGGGAAACCCGCCTTCCTGGACCGCGGAGGTGCTGCTGCGGCTGTCAGAAGTCATCGCAATAACAGATTTGGCGCACGGCCGGCTGCCTCCCAGGAGGGTTTCAGAGGCTCTCGGCCTCAGAGACCTCAAGTTCCTCACAGACTCCGCCTCCTGTACACACACACACACACACACACACACACACACTAAGTAAACAGATGTGTTGGGGTACCTCGGAGGAGAGCGGCAGACTCGCAGGATGAAGAGCTAAGTAGACAAATCCTCAGGTGTAGAAACGGCGGTCTCACCGGCGCCATAATCAAGTTAGCGTTGATCTTCAGATTCGAACCCTCATGTTCGTTAACGGTTCAGTTTTCTGATTGGAGGTTGATTGAAGGAAAGCCTCGCAGGGACTCGCAGAGGAGATTACATGTAAATAAGGAAAGGAGAGCGTGGAGCTTCACTGACGCCGAGAGGGAAATCCTCCTCCACGCTGGGGTCAGAGGTCAGGGGCGCAGAGCCGCATTCCTGGAGCTGATAGGGATTGAGATTTCTCAAGGATAGAGGCGTGCGGAGGAAGAGGACTCTCCTGGTTAATGATTGAGTGATGGTCACAGTGGTGATGGTCTGTGGTCGACTCGTGTGGTTGAATCAGTCCTCGCCATGCGACAAGTGTCTGAATCTAAACAGAAGAAAAAGGTTAAAATGGACTTAAGTGAGGAGACGTTAGATTAGATTAGATTAGATTAGATTAGATCAGATTAGATTAGATTAGATTAGATTGAGACTGTAGACGAAGGACAGGAAATGATCCCAGAACCATCCAGAACATCCCCCATCAAACTTTTTACTATATTAACGATTTAAAGTTTTTCATCTCCAACATGTTTTGGTTTTTTAACTTCTGGAGGAAAATTTTTACCGCATCCGAAACAGCATCGATTTTCGCCGTCCGCCAATCCCCACTGGATCGGTCTGTGAAGCGAATTTCGAGGCGGATTACAGACAGCAGGAATCGTGAGAACTCACAAGAACCTGCAGATTCACGTTCAATCTCACGATAACAAGTTGTCTCTCTAAAGACAGACACATAGACATATAAGCAGTAGATGGTGTCCTTCCAGAGGAGGAAATCTACTTCTAGACTTCTAGAATCAGCATCTCCTCATCCATGGTGTCATCGGGGTGAAATGACGTCTAAAAACCTTTCACTTGTTCGTCTCCGCCCGTTTGCATGGTGTGAAATACGATCCTCCTGAAACACGGAGTGTTTTATTTTGAAAAGAAGCCGGATGTTTTATTTTGTGTCTGTGCCCGACTTCCTTTCCAGCACGGGTTAATCTGTGCTGAATTTATCCGCCATGCTCCGGCGTCCGATGGAAAGAAGTCGGTGTAAATTGACACGTTAACTTGAATGGTTACGATCAGCTACGATCGGAGGATACGACCTTTTAGGAGACGATCAGGATGAAGGTGGAGGTCGGGGGTCAGGGTTGTTTTCATGGTCTGGTTTTCTGCTCGGCTCTCTCCTGATATTTGGAGAATCAAAAACGTTAAACAGGCTGAAGAACGAAGCGACACCTCGGTTTGACGAATGACTGAGAGGATCGATTAGTTATGAATTCAGTTATTGATGAATTCTCCGTTTATTGATTCGGTCAATAATAGTTTCTCTTGAATCCTGAACCTTTGAGGGAATCAGTTTTTCTGTTGAGATAATGATCCTCGTCATGAACTGAAGACCTCAGTGGTTTACCGTCTTCAGCCCCATGAGGGAAATCTGGGCGATGACACCGAGAAGGTTAACCTGGATGAGTGAATAGAACTAGAGTGAATAGATGCTGACTAACAGCGTTAACTCTGCGCTCAGCTGTGGTCGACACGTTGATTTAGAGCCTGAGAGCTGGTTCTGCAGTCAGCTGCAGCAGAACACGGCCTGCAGAGCCGTGTTTGCCCAGTCACGGTTTGCATGTCGTTGGCAGTGTTCCCAGCAGCAGCCTCCTCCTCCTCCTCCTCCTCCTCCTCCTCCTCCTCCTCCTCCTCCTCGGTCTCGGGGAGTGGATGGTGGACGGAGAGAGGAGCAGACAAAGCAGCAGTGTGACACAGCAGCTCTCATGTTCCAGCCTCACTGATTTACACGTGGAGAGACCTCCTCTCTGAACGCTGCTCCTGCTCCTCCTCCTCCTCCTCGCTCCTCCTCCTCCTCCTCGCTGCCTCTCCATATGCATCAACACTCGGCGCCTGCAAATGAGTCAGTCTGCTGTTTAGAGATTCTCTGTTTGTTCTGGGCTGTTGGGATGTCAGGACGGCACAGTTCTGTTGATGCACCTGCCACTTTAGTTTGTGTTCACATCCGTGAAGCATATGGCGTTTGGATTTCGCTCGCAGCTCTTTGTTGATGCTTTCCGTGGCGTTGGCTGTCAGCATCAGATAATAATAAACCCATTTGAGTGCGGCGCCGTTTTTGTAAGAATTCTCAACCTTTCCTTTTTTTTTTGTGAGGGATGAGCTGAAGGCTAAAACTAATCTGCGCCGTCTGAGCCGAAGGGCCGCCACCCCGCCACAACGCCAAGAAAAAGAGGCTGTTAGTGGAGAGACGGGTCGGTCTGCGAGCGGCGGCCTTGGTCTGTAATTACGCTCACAGGTGGGCGCGTCGCTCTGATGTCATTGATTTCCTGAAGCAGGTTTCTTGGTTGTAAAAGCGCTCTCTGAAATCTTCTGAACCCCTGCGATGTTGGCGCCGTGTTCCCGCGCTCGCCCGGCTCTCGTGTCTGAGTGAATTCTGAGGATGCTGTCCTTCGCCGGCGCTGAAAGCAACCTTTTGTGAAGTCCTGGTTCCCCTCAGACGTGGCGTGCCGTGCGGGACCTTGACCGAAGGCTCGGGGGCTTGTTGGTTGTTCTGGCGGTGAAAGCGCTGCACTTACTGTTTACAAAGCATGACCCCTTTTCTTGGCGGACCTTTTAGTCGGGATCTTGAAATGTTTGAACCGTGAAAGCTTCCTCTCTGTGCGTGACGTGAACGTCTTCAAAAGAAATCAATTTAGCGTGTTGAAAAGATGGCCTCTGGTTTCTGCAGAGGGAGGAGATAAAACCACCATGAGCGGTTCCTGGATTCACTTTAGACCGCCTTTTCTGGAGCAGGAGACGATGGGTCCTTTGGGTTCTCTGTTTGTGCTAAAATCCATCAGGAGGGTCCTGGTCCTGGAGATCCAGATGTTGAAGTGGTCAGAGTAGATAACCTGAGCTAAAGCTGCACCATATTAGAAAAAAAACTAACATTGTGATTTTTTTCAACCCTGTGATGTTAAAAAATCGATGAATTTTCCTCCTCAGATGACCTGAATCTGAGTTTCTGCTGAAGTCTTGAGGACAGTTAACCTGCTCTGATCTTCCCTCTCTTAGTGAATGTTAGTAGACTGTCTTCTGTCTGTCTCAGAGATAATTTTAGTTTTTATTGTTCTGGACGTTATTGTGGAAACAGATGAACACAGAACAGATGTTTTAGTCGACATCATCCTTCTTATAACTGAAATAATTCCAGATAACTGAAACAAGTCTTCATCTTCGGTGGTTTTCTCTTGTTTGTTTCTCATTTTACAATCGTTGTTGTTGTGCTGAGAAAGGTATGCCCCCCTAGAATTGCATCCACCTCACAGAAACACCTCTTATATTAGGGTGGTCCACAGAAAGTATGATTTCAAACCCGTACAGTTCCTATTTGTGGGATAAACAGTGATGAGGAATGTTCACAAAGTCATTCTCGGCGTTTCTCGGAACAACACCGGCAGCGTCAGCGACTCACTCCATGTGCAGGGGCGTGGTTTCCTCCTCTCTGATTTTGATTGACGGCTGGCAGGGTAGCAACTGAGTAAAGAATGAATGTGATTGGTGGATCGCTGCACAGCACATATAGAGTCACATATAGTGTATGTCAGCAACACTTGAAACTAGACGAGTTCATTCACCTCCGACATCGCAGGCTCTGACATGTGACTATCGCGCACAAATACATCGCCATGACGACGATCAAACGATATATCATGCAGCCCGTACCTGAACCTTCATCACGTCTGCAGACGTCGGCGCCTCATTTTGGCACATGCTCAGTTCGTGTTTCCTGTATTTGATGTGTTTTTGTCGTTTGACTTCAGAGTCGGTGAGAGTTTTGGTTTGGACAGTTGGACTCGGTTCTGATGGGAAATCCTGTGTGTGCCGGGCGGGTGTTAGTCCAGACCTCACAGCAGGACTCCTTCGTCACTCACCGTACATCGTGAACAACATCAGTGCTGTCGGCTTCACCTGTTAAAGTGCTATGGTTGGGTGGAGCTGCTGTCTGCTACCACTTTGCAGTTGGTTGATACTTGGTTCTAATTCAGAACATGATTGGTTCAGACCCGGAGACACTCCCCTTTTCATTGGCTGTTAGTATAGTCGACCAAAACATGTCAGAATGACGACTATTGAAAAGAATATTGACCATGTTTTATATTGATATTGAGGGAAATTAAGTATGGCTCTCTTGTCTCAGTTACAGCGTTAGTTTGTCTCACTTCCTTCATTTATAAATGGACTCGTTTATCGTCCTGCTGCTCGTCCGTCCTCCAGCTCTGAGACAGTGCAGCAGCAGAAAGTTCTCAGCTCCTCTGGTCTCCAGAATTAGTCGTTTGCTTGTTAAAAACCTGAAATCCGTTTAAACGTGTTTGTAATAAGAGTAAGTCAGGGCGGTACCATGGCAACATGACATCCTGCTGAGCAAAGGTGTCCGAGTCAGTCCTGACTGTGTGTGTGTGTGTGTGTGTGTGTGTGTGTGTGTGTGTGTGTGTGTGTGTGTGGACACTCCTGCAGCTGAAGTCGACTGTCGACCAGTTTTTTACTCTGCCGTGGAAACTCAGAGTGTGTCTTTCCCACACACCTGAACACGTCTGTGAACACGTCTGTGAACATGTCTGTGAACATCTCCACCGACGGCGTTCTTCTCTGTTCTCTGGAATAGCGATGGGAATATCAGCCCTCGTGTGATTGGCTGGCCGTCCTGAAGTCCTTCAGCTCCGTACAGCAGGAGAACAATCTGTCTTCTACATAAGGCAGTCACATATGTTTGCTACGAACTCAGCTCTAACACACACACACACACACACACACACACACACACTCACACACACACACACACACACACACACACACACACACACACACACACACACACTCTCTCTGCTTTGATTGGAAATAGCTCTCTGGTATTGTGAGTCATACTCTGGAGCTTTTCTGCGCTACAGTCACACTGTGAGGAAAAAAGAGAACGAGGCTGAGAGAGGAGAGAGGATCTGGATTCAGGAGAGTCAGGAGAGTCAGGAGAGTCCGTTTCTCAGAGTCAGTAAGAGAGGAGCGGTTTCTGACCGCCGTCTGTGAACGCTCGAGTCTGGCGTCTTTGGACGAATCAGGCGTGTTTGTATTAGGATGTTTAAGTGTCAGCAGACTCATGCGTTTGTTTTTAAAAGTGACTTTAATTTTCACTGTTTCCTCCTCATCTTGTGAAGTCTCTGCTCGGTGTCACATGGTTTTGGACCCCTTACAGGGTTTCACACTAACTTTGTTCACATGTTCTCTTAAGTTGAAAAAGTAAGGAGCACAAAGAACTTTAGGGGATCTATGAAAACTGATCAATAATGTTTGTCTTATTGATCGACTTTAGTACTATTATTTT